AAGCACTACAAAAACCCATAAGTCACTAGCTTCGCAGTCTTTCAGAATTAAGGTCTTCATTTGAAACAGTTACAAAAGAGAAAGTAAATAGAAAAAAAAATGCTCATTTGCTCATTAGCCACACAGAAATACACAGTAAACTCCTCTGAGGTATAACTGCATCAAATATATCTTAATGAACTAGAAAAGTTAATCATCTTGCTTAAGAATATAACTTATACTGAGGTGAGATTTAAGTACCAAGGGGAGCCTGATTCACTAATCACTTTCATTGTTCTCTTCACCACTATAATATGTATTAGTATTAGCCTTGAAAAGTAGGAAAGGATAATGAACTATAATGGCTTTGGGCCCCAAATCAAGTCCTACAATCTCAGCCAGCAATGATGTCTAAATAACAGAGTCTAGCCTGCCAAAGCACAATGCCAGGATCTGGGTGATAGCAGGAGAAGCAAGAACAAGAAGGATAAATAGGTCACACTCTTCTAGTACCAAGCCAGCTCTAGGAATGCTGGTAGCATTTTTGTAAAAAGGCCTCAAAAAATGAAAAATTATTTTTCATTCTAACCAGGCAATTATTTTATCATGATCAACCCATCCTGAGCACTGAATGAAAACCTCCAGAGATCATGAGATTTTACAGATTCTATAGAAATCTCTGCCCCTTAGAAGATAATCATATAGGGGGCGCCTGGGTGGCTCAGTTGGTTAAGCGACTGCCTTCGGCTCAGGTCATGATCCTGGAGTCCCGGGATCGAGTCCCACATTGGGCTTCCTGCTCAGCAGAGAGTCTGCTTCTCCCTCTGACCCTCTTTCCCCCTGTGCTTTTTATCTCTCACTCTCTCTCTCTCTGAAATAAATAAATAAAATCTTAAAAAAAAAAAAAAGAAGATAATCATATACATTCTTTGTCCTAAAAACCCATTGCCTTAACTTTAAAGATGCTGGGGGTGGGGGGAGGGGGAGTGAGAAATAAGAAGGGTCTAAATTCAGCAGTTTTGTTGACAGCACTAACAGGAGTGCATATATGAAAATTGTAAACTACCCTAAGAATACTTACTTTCCAGAACACGGATGGTAATAGTATGGACATGTTAAACAATGAGTGAGTATTCCCATACTCCCAAATCTGCAGATTGCACTCAGTGGAGCAAACTTCGATTTTTTCCTTCAGTAAAATATTTTCAACAACAAAAGTTGTTTAAATGAGTGGAGAGCTATGATTGATAATCTGTCCATGGTCCTAACTTTGGTTTGGTTTTCATTTCTTACTCCAATTGACAGAATTGGGTTAAAGCATATAACTACAGAGAGAATATTTCCATTACTAATCTTTACAGTGCTGAATTTCAAGGAGATTGATAGAGACCATAAAATCGCCTCTAATTTATATAAATATAATTAAGAAGCATTTTAAATACAATTAATCTCCACCAGGATAAATCATGGTAAAAAAACGTATCTGAAGAATTTTGGATTTGAAAAGGTTAAATAATACTTTGAAGGAAGAAGTTTAAATTTATTCTCAGTTCCCTGAAACATTGGGAAATAGACATTTTTTAAATGAACTTTGTCCAAAAGAAAATCCTACTTTAATTATATCAGACATTCTTGACGGACCTGCCAGATACAAATGGGATTTTCTCCTGCTAAGTCTACAAAAATCTCTTTAAAGAATTATCTAAGACTCTATTAAAAACATATCAGAATACTGTTATAAAAATCCTTGATTATTCTAAAACAATATCTGGGTCATATTTATTAGAAAATGTTTAGAAAATATTAATGCTGCAGAACCTATGTATTCACAAAGTTTAAGAGTTTAGAGCCCTTAAAGATTAATATTATATCTAGCTTTTAGAAAATTGAAACTAGTGACTAATATGTTAGGAACTGCCTAACATATAGAAAAACATGATCAATAAGAGGTGAAGAAGAGTTCCAGGTCCTATTGTTAATCACTATGGTCACAAGTTATCTTGAAATAGAATAAAACAAAACTTATGACTATAGGTTAATAAAAGAAATTATTCCCATCGCTGCAAGTATCACCTATGATACATCACTTTCTGTTTATCTGTTTATAAAACAGGGGGTATACCCTCCTCCCTATCTCATAAGGTTACTGTGATAATAAAATATAATGAATGTGAAAATACAAAGTTAGAAGTCTTAAAAATGTAAAGTATACTTAAAACACACTTAGTAATACAGCTCCATTGTCACAAAGTAAAAATAGCAATAAGTAAACAGCAAGAAAATAATTACGAACTATAGGGAGAAAATGTTTTAATAAGATTTTATTGAGGCCAGAAATAAATACCTTTGTATTAAATAAGTCACATTACAATTACTCAAAGAGAAGAAATTTCTTCTCATTAATGTGTGAAAAGAAATTTAAGGTAATAATGATCAACAAGTATTTTTAATCATATTTGTTTAATGTGGTATTCTCTCTAAACTACTGACATCTTCTGAATGGCATTTTACAGACTGCTCTACACTGAAAAATGGGACATTCAAGTTGAGCTACTTTGGAGACATAAAGATACAGACTAATTAGACGAGCAGAAAGAATAAAAGCTATTTGGGGTATCAAGACTTCCATTGAACTACTTTCCTTTGTAAGGACAGACTCAGAAAATGTAATTTGCTTTCAAGAGCAAGAATTAACACAGCTAACAACCCTCCCATATTCCACAGAAAGCTTGGGGAAGAGGGCAGCAGTAGGGAAATGAAACATAAATTTAGACAATAAAACTGAACTAAGGTGACAAGATGAACAGAGTTTCTGTCAAATTCATGGGATATTTCCTGGTAGAAGTAAATTTCTAAAGAAAGCATTAGAAATTACATGCTTTAAGAAATTTAAAACCTGGTAAAACTATGAAGGGTGTTTTCTGAGGTTAATTTTTCCAGGTTGAAGAATCTGACAGTCTCATTAGATATAGCCAATCCAAAAATCATTTGGATTAATCCATTTTCAAAGGTAATGCCATCACTGACATAAATAAACTCCTTATTTTGGGCAAGACCTTTAACCTTCTGAAGCTCGTTTCTTCATTTATGAAGTAAGGATACACAATCATAATACTAAGAAATAAACTTATTTTGGGCAAGACCTTTAACCTTCTGAATCTCAGTTTCTTCATTTATGAAGGATAAACAATCATAATAGTAAGCCCCAATTTTGTTCTGAACACCAAAAAGACAGCAGGGAATTACTAAAAAGAGCTTCCTAAATTGCAAAGTACCAATGAAAATGTCATTTGGTTCCTAATTAAAACATAAAAATGTTTATGGGCTATCTGCAGGACCCCATAATGTAAAGCTAAGAAATTAAGTTGGGTAGCTATTATTCCAGCATTCACAAGAAATTTGCTAATTCCTAAGTTAACCATTTTCTCAAAGTCTTGATTTAGTGTTATCCATCACTGTATCCTGTGTTTTTCTGAAAAATATACTGTATTTAACTTATATAGTCTTTTTGGCTCTACTTATGTATTTTATTTTATTTTTTCTAGTTATGTATTTTAAAGGGAAAGCTCTTTATATGTGTAGTATGAAACTCTAGAAAGAAGGAAAAGAAGGCTTATCTAACCAATTTTTTTCTGTTTTGATTTTGTTTTTGCTTAATATTATAAGCCAAGATATCTTTCCATACTTACTTTCCTTTCCACACGTACTGCAATGTACACATGCCTATCAGCTCCAATAACCAAATAAATAATTTTTAAAGTAATTAAACTATCATTAAAATGTGGGCAACATCCACTTCAACCCATTCTCTTTCTTCAGACAGCGGTTGTAGTGTAATATAAGGAACACACAGCTTACAGTCAGACGCCTTTAGATGGAACAAGGGCCCTGAAAGTCTCAGAATGTCTATTTTCTTATTGAAAATGGGAATGACACTTACTTCATGAGACTATTCTGAAGATTAAATTATGTCTATTTTTTTGTATAATATTCTTTCACTTATGGAATCAAAAAAACACTCACAGAGTTTTCGAGGTTTTTTTCTCCCCATCTCTACAATATAATTTAGACATTAAAGTTTCCCTTAAGTCCTTCTACTTTACAAATAAATTCTACATGGAACTGCTTTTATTTCTTTTTTCCGAACTAGAAATTTTTTAAAAACCGCCTGAGTCCTTGCTTTATTTTTATTTTTAAAATCTCCATTAACTATTTCATTTATACTCTTTCAAAACTCTTTTTGTATTATTTTGTTTTTACTAAAGTGTGTTTGTCTTCCAGATCGAAAGATACAGGAGTTCTTTCCTCTATTTCTAGAGTAACAGTAAGATGCTTCCTAAACATAACTGCTTGTGTTATATAGACATAATGGGCTTCTAATACAAATCTTTCATCCCAGGGGCTAGTCATAATATTAAATAACAAACTAATCTCAACTGCATTGCTTAGCATCCTCTGGAATTCATGAGTTTTATTTCGGTTTAAAATAAATGACCATATCTTTCTGTTCTCTTCTACATTAACATTTTCCCTATCTACTGATTTTTTATTTGATTATTTCATGCATTTGAATATTGAAAAACTCCATCTCTAGGTTTATGAGTTCTTTTCCTTCAATTTCCTAATAGTGACAGCTTAATTAAGCACAGTAGTGAAAAACAATATATATTATTTTTTATTATGTTATGTTAGTCACCATACAGTACATCATTAGTTTTTGATGTAGTGTTCCATAAGAAAAACAATATATATTAAATGGTTCTTGTTCTAGACTAGGTTCTAGAAATCTAGGTTCTTGTTCTAGACTTGCCACTGACAAGGTGGACCACATTTCTCTGAGATTCAGCTTCTTTTATCTTAAATAAGGGAGTAGGAGAAAGTTATTTTTAAGGTCTCATATGCTGATCATAGAATTAATTTTCCAAAGGTACACATATAGAGAATTATAAGGAAAAGGGAATAACAGAAATCAGCTATGCCCATATGAGTGAAATAGACTAAGGGGAAAAAAAAAGATATACCTGCAATTTCTTCTAAAGTGTTGGCATGCATGTCCAGCAACACAGTTCCATTCAGAATACAACTTCTCAGCTCAAACAAGCTGTGCAAGGAAAGAGTAGCCACATAGGGTTTGCTCCACCTTTCTCCTCCATCTTCCACATCTTCTTCAAACTTCAACCACCTACACAAATAAACAATATCAGCACATTGAATAGTATATTGTAGATGAATGATCCTTTGTCCCAAGAATAAAAAGTAGAAACAGAAAGATATTCACATTCCTTCTTGGTTTTGTGGGTTTGGAAGTAAAAACTAGCCCAGTCATTTGGTTTATTTCATTTTAATTCCATCTAACAAGCATTCTTTTCGTCATTGGAAGTTGTATAGAAGACAAAGAAAAACTCAAATGTTATTTTTATTAGTTTGTTGAGCTCTGAAAAAATATTGTTTTAAATTTTTTATTAACATATAATATATTATTTGTTTCAGGGGTACAGGTCTGTGATTTATCTTAATATAAATGTTTATTAGGTGGTCACAATGAATCTGCTGTAGAATTAACAGAATATACTTCATAGAAGAAAAATGGCAATTGGAAAAGATGCAAAAGAAAATGAAAGAGTATTCATTTTTCTTCAGTGGGAGGTCTCAAAATGGAATATTTGAGTCTCTTGGTAATTTTTCCATTTGATAGGAAGGCTAGTATAATTTGGGGCCTATTCTATAAGAAAAATACTCATTAGGCCTGCTTGGATGAAATCTAGTGATTGCAGTCATTTCCTAGGGACTACAGAATCCTATGAGAATGGAGCTTAGCCTCCAATCCCTGGGCCTTGCTGCCCGGATGGAGAACAGAAGAGCCTTGATGTCAAGATGCCAAATGGGAGACCACTGCCTTCTTAGAGTGAAATGATTAATAATATCTGAGTTTGTTTAACTAAGATAAATGGAAGGAATAAAAAGAAACCAGTGATTCCACTGCTCTGGCACAAGCACTAAATCTCTTATTCTTTTAGAGACTTGTTCTCTAATCCTAATAGATGACCAGTTTAATTCCACCACTTTTAATGAACCCTAAATAAAGCCTAAATTGCTTTTCCTCCCATTCCCTCCACCATTTTTCTCATTTCTCCTCTCCTTCGTCATTTTTGCTCTAACTTCCTCTCTCCATGCAATACCACTCAGGTTCTGTATAAAATATTATATTATTGTTGTATGTAATCAAATGATCTAACTCCAGCAGTAACTAGTTAGGGAAGCAGTGGATCAGCCAGAAATAACCAACCAAAAGGATTAATCAGAATGATTAATGTGCAAAGTTCCAAGAAAGATAAAGAAAACTATGTATCCATCCTCATTGTTCAGGAAACAAAAAGTTGTCAGGAAATGGGGCACCTGGGTGGCTCAGATGGTTAAGCGTCTGCCTTCGGCTCAGGTCATGATCCCAGAGTCCTGGGATCGGGTCCTGCATCGGGCTCCCTGCTCCTTGGGAGCCTGCTTCTCCCTCTGCCTCTCTCTCTCTCTCTCTGTCTCTCATGAATAAATAAATAAAATCTTTAAAAAATTAAAAAAAATTTTAAAAAAGTTGTCAGGAAATGAAAAGGAAACCAATAGGGAAGAATATGTATGCCTGCCAACAGTTGACAAACAGGGAATACCAATACCTATCATGAGTTTATAAGACACTTGAAGGTTGAAAAAACTTGCATTTAAGCCCCAAATCACTGACAATATTTCTTCATGCTGGCAATTTTATAGAATATTTTTGTGTATACTGTTGAGAATTTTTCATATTAGTGATTCTTAATGATTTTCAGGCTTTGATAGGGCCATAATATTTCATAAATCATGTGATGGTCATTAGTACTGTTCATCAACTAGTTGTCCCTCTCTACCTAGGTTATCACTACCTGGCTCCCTTTTGACCGGGTGAGACCATATGACTATTGACTAGTTCTGGACAAGGAATGTGAGCAGAAATTATGTGTGTCACTTCCAGACTGTGCTTTTGCCCATTTTTCTAATTGATTTGTTTTCATACTGTTGAAATTTGGGAGTTCTTTGTATCTTTTATATATAATATTTTTGTCAAATATATGGTTTGCAAATATTTTATCCTTGTCTATAGCTTGTCCTTATCCTTTTAACAGGATCTTTCACAGCACAAAGGTTTTAATTTTGGTGAAGTCCAATTTATGAATATTTTCTTTTATGGTTTGTGCTTTTGATATCATGTCTAAATATTCATCATCTGGGTCCTAGGTCCTCCTAGGATTTTTGCCTATATTTTTCTCTCAAATTTGTATACCTTTATGTTTTACATTTAGATTTATGATTTATTTTGAATTAATTTTGTAGACACTATGAGGTATCAATGTTTTTACCTATAGATCTCTAATTGTTCCAGTACCATTGATGAAAAGACAATTCTTTTTCCACTAAATAGCTTTTGCTCTTTGTCAAAAATCAGGTAGCTGTACTTGGGTTGGTCTTTCTCAGTTCTCTATTCTATTCCATTGATTTATGTGTCTCTCTGAAAAGAAATTTTAAAAACAAATCTAAAGGTATCGTCCTTCCTTTAGCATAATTTCCTTCAGATTGGAGGCTTAGTCCTTTAGAAAAGAAGAATGGAATATCTGGGAATTCCAGTCTGATAGTTAAGGTAACCAAATATATGGATGCTAGCTTGATTTAGCCATAGATTTTACGAATATTATAGGAAGAAGCATAAGATACTTTCCATAAAAAGAAACTCACAAGTTACAAATATCAAGTCTAAACATTTCAAGATTCAGTGCTTTAGGCCAACTCCAGAATGATGCCAAAAGCGTTAAGAGCTGTTTAAATAATTATTTTTAAAAGACATATATATTAAAAATATATATGTATATATCCTATACATGTATTCTCTCTCTCTCTCCACACACACACACAAATACATATGTATATCTCTCTTTTCTGCTTCTTTATTACATTTCATATTTCAAAATTGAAATTAAGAGGTCTGGGAACACACCAAATCCTGTTTAAAGATTTGTAGTCACTGAATAGACAGTCAGTTGCAAAATGCCTGATTGCAGTTAATGACCTAAAGTGCTGCAATTTATTCCAGTTTTCAAATAAACTCAGCTGACATTTGTTTGAATAGCAAACAAGAGTCTCACAGGCATGAATGAGACGTAATGAACAATGAAAAAAATAAAAACTGTAGGCCAATTGTATGACATTTTCCTGGGGGGGCGGATTTAAACTCTGAGATTATTTGATTTTCTTACAGTGTGTCTGGATCTGTTTTCATCCATGATTAACACATTGGAATCTCCTTCTACTAAACAGCAGCAACATAAAATAGGTGTTTCATGAATTCTTTGAGGATTAAGAAATGATAATCTCTTCTACAATACTCATATTAAAAATCTACAAAATAAAATTCTTCTGCAAATTAGAAATAGATGTTCTCCTTAGAAATTAACTCCTTCTGTTTATTCTATTCCTACTAATTCCTTTTAACTTTTCTAGGAATTTTTATTCCCTGGTTCTACCCAAATAGAAAGTAAAATATCATCCAAAATTATAGCCTTGGGAGAAGTTATGGACTCTTAAGAGAAAACATCCTCTTTTGGGTAGAGTTGAGGCTACAGATGGTGGAGGAGGGACATGGTTTGGGTGGAGGCTAGACAATAACATATGTAATCATAAAGTGCCTATTTTAAAGGGAAAGGGGAAGTGAAATATATCCAAACCTAGAAATATTAGATGTTCTTAAAGAGATTTTTTTTTGAAGATTTTATTCAGTTATTTGCAAGAGAGAGAGAGAGATCGCGAGAGCGCATGAGCAGGGGGAGGGGCAGAGGGACAAGCAGACTCCCCGCTGAGAGGGGAGCCTGACACAGGGCTCCATCCCTGAGATCACGACCTGAGCTAAAGTGAGGTGCTTAACCCACTGAGCCACCAGGTTCCCCTCGCTATTCTTAATCCATATTATCTTCACATCTCACATCTCCTGGGAAAATCTTAATGACGACTTTAACCTTTCCTAATTTTGAATATCAAATGCCTTCACAGAACCAATAAAATTGTTTTGATGCAATAATCCTTTTTGACACTACCATGTATGTATCAGAGGCCAACTGCTACCCCCTGCTTTTGTCTCTTCTGAGCTCATTTGTGGGAAGCACTTTTAAAGGGCAACCACAGTGAGTCAAATATGTTGTCTTCATAATTGCACAGCTGTGGTATCTTTGCGTGCTTTTCTATTAATAACATTATATGTTATTTATAAGCAGGACATTGTAATTGTGTTGATTTCATTAGCCCTTCTCATATGGCTTCTTCTAGGGTTTTTAAAAGTGAACAGCTGGTTTTCACAAACATTTATTAAATAACTATGATTCAAAAATTTAGTTTCAAAATCTAAAACTTTGCTTAAGTTTTGCTTGGCAACAACAGTGGGCATGAATTATTCAAGATGTGATATGTGACAGGTGCAATGTGCTGATAAAATATCCTTTTTATTTCTACTCTTAGGGTAGAAAATTATTAATCTCCACTGGAATACTAATCAAAAGAAAGAAGCGCTTCAAATAGTTATGCTAATGATTTATTGCATTTGGAAAATCAGATGGAGTCCTAAATTAACTAAAATTAGTCTTTTTAGATGAACTAGGGCAACCAGAACAAAATTACTTCTGCCACTCTAAAACTCACTACATTTCTAAGTCCTCAATAAATACACTCTGTTCTTCCCTGACGTATTGTGTCTCAGCCAAAATTCATCTACCCTCCCCTTCAATGTCTGTTACTGTTTTGATTGCTCATCAGATGTCTCCTTGAACCCCAAATAGCTGTACCATGCATAGGGTTCCAGAAGCATGGCTAAGAACAGAGGTCCTATTTAATAACATTAGAGAATACTAATAATTAACTGGATCACTCTTCTGTTCTTTATAAATGAACAGCAATACATTTCAGTGGTTTGGGATAAACATGTTGTACAGGTTAATCCATGAGAGCATGATAAAATTCTACCTGCTCAACTATGATAAAGAGAAAGCTCTGCCATAACAGAGCTTCATGAGAGTGAGCAAGTCACAAGGAAGTTACTGCTTAAAAGGAACAGATCACTATTTGATCTGGAGGATGAAAAATCACCAGCCATTTTAAGAATAAAGGAGTTACTCCTGACAAAATACACATTCCAATCTTACTTCTCAGTTCTATCATGTAGGATGACAGTGAAAAAAGGAATATAAAAGAAATGCTTCCAAAAAGTACCTCTCAGCAATAAAGAGTCTCAAACTAACCAGAGCTTCATAGTCATCATACCCAGCAGATATCCCTTCTTCCTGACATCCAGGAATACCTAGTATTTCTTCTAACCAGTTGAAGACAGATGCTTCTAGCCTTAAACAGGGAGGTTTGCACTTTAAATTCCTTTATCAACAACTCTTCAATCATGAGAGAGCAAAAGTTATAATGCTAATTGGGGGAGAAGATGATCATATATTGTTTTTCTGTCATCAAAAAAAAAAAAAGAGCATTCATATTATATACATGAAAAAGTCCAAAGCATTTAGTTTTTGATGCAGTTGGAAGAAAAAAACAGGATAGATGGTTCTTAATCTTAAAATCTACCAAGTCATATAAAAACTATTGCAAGTTTGGTTCTATATTTAAAATATTATAATAGGAAGCTTCAGAAAGAAAATGATTAACTTACATGATTTTTTCACTAAAAAGGGGAATGCAGACAGAATAACAACATTAACTTAAAGTATTAAAAAAGGCAAATAAAGAAAATGATTTGACATAAAATAGGTAAAGGAAATGAACACTTAGTTCACAGGAAAAGAAATTAAAGCATATTTTTGAAAATATGTTCAATCTCACCAATAACTTTAAAAATGTAAATTACAATGAGATTTATTTTTCATCTATAAAATTAGCAAAAAAATATAAAAGTTTGATGATTTAGTCTCACGAGGGTTTGAGGAAAATAAGCACTCTCCTACACTTTTCATAGAATATGAATTACTAAAACATTTTATAAAAGCGATTTTGCAATATCTATCAAAATTTGAAAGGCTGCTCTCATTGGTACATAAGTTCCACTGGTAGAAGTAGAACTCCTACCTAAATACCTACAAAATAACCCAAAACATACATGTGAATGATCACTGCAGCAATGTTTGTATGTAGCAAAAGTATAAAACAACCTAAATCCTTACCAAGAGTGGCTAAATAAAGTTCATTCATATTATTAAATGTAATGCAATCATTAAAAAGATTGAATAATCTGTATTAATACAGAAAATGGTCCAAATATATTATTAAGTGAAAAAGTGAGGCATGAACATTGTATATAATCCCTATTGTATTTTCATGCAGATCTAGGTATTAAAATTTTTATAAGAGACACAAGAACAGTGATTGTCTTTGAAGAGAGGTAATATGAACAAGAGTAGAGGATATTTTTGCTTTTTTATCTTTCTATACTTTTGGAATTTTATTTTATTTTTTTTTAAGATTTTATTTATTTATTTGACAGAGACAGAGATAGCGAGAGCAGGAACACAAGCAGCGGGAGTGGGAGAGGGAGAAGCAGGCTTCCCGCCGAGGAGGGAGCCCGATGTGGGACTCAATCCCAGGACGCTGGGATCATGACCTGAGCCGAAGGCAGACGCTTAACAACTGAGCCACCCAGGTGCCCCTATACTTTTGGAATTTTAAATTCTAGCAGTTCATTTTATTTTTTTAAATGTTAAGAGAGATGAACTAGGTAAAATAGCCATTTTAATTTTCTTCTATTTACTTCTAGTATTTTTTAAGTAAAAGGGACCTGTAAAGACCATTCAAAATACATCAAAGAAGAATTAACTATTATTTATAATATCATGACTGAACATTTAATTTCACACTAACCCTGGGTAGAGTTAAGGCAATGATTAAATACAACCACAAGTTTAATATGATCCAGTGGTGTACTGTGGCTTTTAAAGGGCTGTCAGTCCCTGGGCCACAAACAAATACGGCCAACAGAAAGAATTTCCAACAAGGAGAGCTGTGTGACCATGGAAGGAATAACCTAACAAAACAGTCAAACCTGTGTCAATGGACGTGTTCAAGCATATCCCGCCTCCTCTTCCTAGCGTACCGCCCGTTCTGCTTTTCTTCCTAGCTAGTTCCAACTTGTCCTTCAAGAGCCAGCTCAGGAATCACCTCCTCCAGGAAAGCTGTCTTGATCCCTTCTCCTTCACCCTTGTGGTTTAGATCCTTTCTACTCAAAATGTGATCCTCAAACCAAAAACATTGGTGTGACATCAGCCGGAAGCTTATTAGAAATGCAGGATCTGAGATTCCATGCCTGAGGCATACTGAGTCTACATCTCAGCAAGACCCCAGGTGATCTGCATTCACATTAAAAGTTGGGAAGCAGTGGTTAAAGGACAACCCTCACTGTGCCCAGTTCCTTGTGCACACCTGTGTCACAGCATTCATTATACAGTATTTACAGCTTTGTTTACTTGTCTAAATCCCTCATTAAACTGTGAGATTGTTAAAGGCAAGATCTAAGATTTTTGTTGTTTTCTATCCGTTATACCTGGCACATAATAGATATTCAGAAATGTTTGTTAAATAAATGAGCAAAAAGGTAAGAATGAATAAATGAAAAGCAAATGCAAAATTTACTTTATTATTCTTTCATAGCAATTCATCAATTATATGGCAATATAGAAAAATTACAGTTGACAGAAAAGTAATTTTTGAAAAGTTATTTTGAAAAAACACTATGCTTAGATGCATATATATCCTAGAAACACATTACAAAAAATTTTTACCCTCATCAAATAGTATATAAATAAATCCAGGAGTATACCTAAAGCCTCTTATGTTTTCCCTTTCTTTAAAAAAGTCCCACACTCAAATTATCATATAATATCCCTAATTTGGGCACAGGCCAACAGTTGAAAACAGAAATAAATTACTTTTAGATTCCTATTGTTTTCCTGATGACACACAAATTATGCTACTGTTTATCTTTCAGGCTGCAGCTGTTGCTGGCTCTGCATCACTGTTTACTATAATTGCTGCCTTCAGATTTCATTCTGACCCATATCCCATTATAAGATATGCCCAGGCCAGACGAGCAATTTCAGAAATCAACAGCACTCATGGATGTTTGCAAAATCGTGGCTTTACAAATCTCTTTTCCAATAGCACGAACATTATTTAGTATACCTTCACCCTTCAACAAAAATCCTCACCTGGCTGTTTCTCGCCATTCAGCATCCTCACCTTCACGCCAGCAAATCTCATCCAGTTCTGTGAAAAGGTCATGAGGAATGTGTTCCTCATCATCATCCTCAGTTCCAAGAATAAACTGTACTCGCTGTGATGGGGTGTCTATAGAAAGTGAGAGACATGAACATGCATTACCATGACTTCAAGCTTAAAATTTCCTGGTCACCAACTTCAACACCACTCCAAATTCACACTTCCCTGCCCCCGACTGTGACAATCATCCAGAGTAGACTTGGGAAATTAAAACTAAATTTAGAAAAAAACAAAAACAAAAACTAAATTTAGCATTACATGAAGTCTAGTATAATTTGGGAGATAATTATTTAAAATGTAAATATAGGATATATACATTATCAAAAATAATATTAAATGTTATGATTATTTTTGGATTATTTATAGCACTCATCATAGAAACTATTTCTGTATCTCCCTCAGAGACATACACACATTTTCTCTCATCATATATGCTATACTTTATGGTAATATTCAGAACACACTATGATAAAATTCACTTACACTGAGTGTAATTTACCATGAACTCCCTTGTGATGCTTTTTTATAGTCACACCTCTGCCCCTTCCTCAACCCCTGACAACCACTAATCTGGTCTCCATTGCTATAGTTTTGCCTTTTCCAGAATGCTATATAAATGGAAACCAAACCCCAAATCATCTGTGCCCTACATCATCTACTGGTAGTGTTTGCTTAAACATTCAAAGAGCTCTTGTGATCATGATTATGGCACAAGTCACTATGTTCTTGGTAAGGGAGGAAGATAATGTGTGGTTTGGACACAAGACACACAATCTCAAGGGTGCACGTGATGTTCCTAGAAAGAACATGTTGTTTACAATTTGGGGGGCTCTGAAGTAGACCTATATAATTTGGGGACATAGATTGACAGTGTTTCCTACAAGGCTTCTAGTCCAGCTATTTGGCCTTAGAGTTTCCAGTTCGGTTAACTGGGTCTAGACCCTGTTTTTAGAGGGACTGCTTGAGGACAGTTAGTCTAATCTGACTTATTTGCCCATTCTATAAATGAGGTGGCATTCCACTGTGTGATGGCTACAGAAAAGAGGGTAGGAAAGACATCCAAAGGTGTTAATAGGTTTTCTTTTTGTGTGTAGGAGTTGAAGGCACTGAGGACATCCCTGCATTTCTTTTTTTTTTATGTTATGTTAATCACCATACATTACATCATTAATTTTTGATATAGTGTTCCATGATTCATTGTTTGCATATAACACCCAGTGCTCCATTCAGTACATGCCCTCTTTAATACCCATCACCAGGCTAACCCATCCCCCCACCCCCTCCCCTCTAGAACCCTCAGTTTGTTTCTCAGAGTCCATAGTCTCTCATGGTTCATCTCCTCCTCCGATTCCCCCCGCTTCATTTTTCCCTTCCTGCTATCTTCTTCTTCTTTTTTTTTTTTAACATATAATGTATTATTTGTTTCAGAGGTCTGTGATTCAACAGTCTTACACAATTCACAGCGCTCACCATAGCACACACCCTCCCCAATGTCTATCCAGCGCTCACCATAGCACACACCCTCCCCAATGTCTATCACCCAGCCACCCCATCCCTCCCACCCCCACCACTCCAGCAACCCTCAGTTTGTTTCCTGAGATTAAGAATTCCTCATATCAGTGAGATCATATGATACATGTCTTTCTCTGATTGACTTATTTCGCTCAGCATAATACCCTCCAGTTCCATCCACGTTGTTCCAAATGGCAAGATTTCATTCCTTTTGATGGCTGCATAATACTCCATTGTATATATATACCACATCCCTCATCCCTGCATTTCTGATAAACTTAAGGTTAAAAGCATTGATGATAAGAGTCACCTAGCAGAGAATGGCCAGCCAGCAGTCAATTAGATTTAAGGCACTTGTCACAGCTTGAGAGCCACATCAAGGTATTTTCTTTTATGAGGAATACTCCAGGGGAAGTTCTGAAAGATCATTAAATTCACTTCCATTCCCTTCATCAAGTGTGTTCCAATCCAGTAGCTATAACTTCACCTCCTTTCTAATTATCCCCTACTCTAAATATTCCCAACTTTATTTGTCCATTCTTTAATTCACTCTCAGAATTAAAAAAAAAAAAGGATGCCTGAGGATTTTGCCTTCATTGTTTCCTTTTTGGTTTATACTTTTAAAAGATTATCTGATTGTTTACCTAGAGATCTTTACTAGGTTGCTGGACACAAACTACAAAATCTATTCTATCCCTATACTATAGTAAAAATTATTTAAAAGCCTAATAGGAAAAAAATCTCCATTTATTTTAGAAGCAAAAATATAAGGTTATCTAGGAATAAATTTTTTAAATTATGCAACACATTTGTGATGAAAATTATAAAACTTTATTAAATTATATAAAAGTAGACCTAAATAAATGAATGAATGTATACTAATGGAAAGGCATTCAATAGCAGAAAAACTCATAAATTCAATGGTATTCCAAGAAAACATTTGGTATTCTCAAATATTTTTTTAAAACACAAAAGAGGGGCACCTGGGTGGTTCCGTCGGTTAAGCATCTGCCTTCGGCTCAGGTCATGATGCCAGGGTCCTGGGATCAAACCCACTGTCAGGCTCCCTCCTCAGCGGGGAGTCTGCTTGTCCCTCTCCCTTTGTTGCTCCCCCTGCTCGTGCTCTCTTTCTCACTCTCCCTGTCAACTAAATAAATAATCTTCTCTAAAGAAATAAAGCAAGGGGCACCTGGGTGGCTCTGTCATTAAGTGTCTGCCTTCCGCTCAGGTCATGATCCCAGGGTCCTGGGATTGAGCCCCGTATCAGGCTCCCTGCTTAGAGGGGAGCCTGTTTCTCCCTCTCCTTCTGCCTCTCTCTGTCAAATAAATAAATAAAATCTTTAACATAAATAAATAAAACACAAGAATGAGTAAATCAGTAACAAACATACAATGATTACTGAATTCTATAATATTAAATATTTTTGTGAAAATAAACCAATTAATCAGTTATTTAAAAGATTAGGTTATAATAGTCACAACTGAGAGGATTTCAGAAGTCAAAAGTGAAAAATATACATACAACATAAAATATAATTTAGCATCATACTTTCCATATAAATAAATGTTTGTGGTGAGGCCCTAAACCCTGACTATCTCATTAGCCTTATCTTCTGACACTCTTTCCCTTACTATTTCATTCAGGGTTCATTAGGCTTCTTTTGGGTTCTTAAAAATACCATGTTCCTTTCCATGTCAGGGTCATTGCACTCACTGTTTTCTCTAGCTCCCCTGTGTATCTTTCAGCCTCCACTTCAATGTAATATACTTCAGCAAGCCTATCCAGTCAGCCTTGCAAAATACACACACAAACACACATATGAGCACATTCATATGCACACAACTAAATTAGACATCTGTTATCCCAATTCACAGCACTCTTTACTTCTCCTTGATTGTAATTTTAAATTTACTGCACAATAGTAAATTAAATATTTTAAATAGTCAAAATTAGTCTCTTGGAAAAAGTTAGGAACAATTCCCAAGAGAGAAAATTATGCATGCAAAACTACTTTTCAGATTATAAAGCATTATATAAATATTACTGAGGATGATTGATGCTAATGATCATGGTAGTGGTGATGTTTATAATGATAATATAGGTGTGCCAAAATGATTAAGAATTTGAAGTATGGAGAATGAGGAAATAATAGTGTCATTGATTAAAAGAGAGTTGTAACATGGATGGACCTTGAAAGCATTATGCTAAGTGAAATAAGTCAGACAGAGAAAGATAAATACTATATGATCTCACTTACCTGTAGAATCAAAACAAACAAACAAAGAAACAAATCCACACACACACAAAAAAGCCCCCACCAAACTCACAGAAAAAGAGATTTGTGGTTACCAGAGGCAGGGAGTGGGGGCTGGGAGAATTGGAAGAAGGTGGTTGAAAGGTTTAAACTTCCAGTTATAAGATGAGCAAGTACCAGGCATGTAATGTAAACATGATGACTAAAGCTAACACTGCAGTATGATATTTAGGAAAGTTGTTAAGAGAGTAGATCCTAAGAGTTCTTATCACAAGGAGAATTTTTTTTCTCTTTTTTTTTTTATTGTATCTATATGAGATAATGGAGGGTGGATGTTGATTAACCTACTGTGGTAATTATGTCACAATATATGTAAATCAAACCATCACGCTGTATACTTTAAACTTACACAGTGATGTATGTCGATTATTTCTCAAAAAAAAAAAAAAAGTGGAGAAAAAAATGGTTGTCAGAATGAGAACCACTATCACAGACTGGGAGCTCAAAAAACAAATTTTAGATATGCTAAATTTGAGGTGACCGGGACAAACATATAAAGATAGTCACAGGGAACCTGGAGATTTGATTCTAGAAAAGAGGACAAGGTCAGTGATAGAGACATGGGTGGCATTTAGAGAAGTCATATGATTATAATGAATGAGGACTCAAAAATGAAAGAGTAGGGAGAGAAAGTCTCAACACTGGGGAAATAATCAGCTTTAAGATTTGGGAGAAGGAAGAGGAGTTAACAAAAGAATCAGAAAAAGAATAGACAGATACGTAAAAGAATCAATACATTAAATACTTAATGAGTACCTTCCACAGATCAGGTACTATTCTAGGCAGTGAATTAGACTGATGTAAACAGAAAAAAATCTCTGCCTTTATAGATCGTAGAGCTGATGGAGAGAGTAATATAACAGGGGCCCATGTTTGAAGCTGATGGAGAGTAATATAACAGGGGCCATGTTTGAAAAGGACTTCAAAAGGACAAGAAGTCAATAATGTCAGATGCTATAAAATCAATGATGAGAACTGAATAAGAACTACAGGATTTGGCTTGTCTAATGTACATTAGCACTAGAATTCCAAAGGACATGTATTATTTTACAATCAGAAAGAAATAAATAAGCTGCTTCCATTTCGAATATATACTATATTTTCAATAAATAGTTGGTAAGAAAATCAAACTTACATAGTTACACTACTGGAAGAAAACCCCTAATAGAATTGTAATTGCAAATAAGCAAATTCCTTAGCAAAGTTTCATCTTTCCATTATTAGCTATGTTACTTATATGGT